GATAAGACAATTTTTGGCCTTTTGGGGACACACACACACACACACACATATATATATATATATATATATATATAAGGTGGAAGAATAACTTGAATATTATAGAAAAATAATCTTTTGAGAAAGGGCAAAAGATCGCTTGAATATTGGACCATAACTTTATTAATTGTCAAGACAAAATGTTCAGAAAATATTCTTGCTTACAATTTTAATTCAAGGTGTACCATCATCATTCTACTCAACACCCGACACATGTCTATGGGCATAACCGTAGTTAAATTTTTATTTAATATTTGTGAAATCATGATTATACTCATGAACACGTGTCAAGTATTGAGAATAATGATTATGGTACACCTTAGTTAGTGTATTGGAAACAGATTTTATTCATATATTCGCCATTTATTAGTCCTTGCATTAAAGTCCAATTTCATTTCTTTATAAACAAACTAAGTACGATCTTGTTACCAAAATACCTAGAGATTGTGCCTTCGTTAGCATTCATTTACCATATTAAGTCCAAGGCTCAAATTAAGTATGAGATGTCACTGTTGGAAACGAAAAGAATGCAAAATAATACAATATCATATCAGAGATATAAGGGGAGAGAAGGGCGGTCAAATCCAAATGCATCATTCTTGCCCTAAAATAGAAAGAATCAAATGCATCATTTCCAAAAGAAGAAGTAAATCCATCGTTTCCAAACTAATGTCGGTTTAAATCAGTAACATTTTTACTTTTTTTGAGTATTAACGTTTTCGATTTTTTTGTTTTACTATTGAAGATGAAACTAAAATATAAAGTATGAAGATTAGTTATCCTAAATTTAATTCAATTCATCCAACCGACCAGTCAAATCCAATTCAATTTATGTGTTAGAACAAATACAATACAACTTAGCAGGTTTCGTGTTTTTTTTTTTGGGGTCCTCTTGACATTAAAAAGATTATGAATAATTAAATCATCTGATGGAGTTAGCTTTGTCCTTGGTAGATCAGGAATTGCAACATCAAGGCATGAATATTATAGCTTTAGCTTTATGTATTATTTATTTTCTTCAACCCTTCCTCATCTCTAGTTTCCTCCCTATTTTGAATTATTTAAAATTTTAATTGGGGCAAGATGCAAAAATGAGAATAACAACAGAAGAACTCAAACAAAATTTAAACTTTTTGATTGGAATGTGAGCAATGACAATAGAATCACTCAAATAAGATTTAAAATTTTAACGCAAAACCCTAAGTAGAGGGAGAGCAAGCTTCCACTTCATATTTGAGCAATCTATTTCTTTGGTGCTTGCATGACCTAGTAGTGGCTTGGAGGTGCGACGACTATTTTGTGATGTCCATACGCTATTGACCCACAGTGACCTTTCCTTGTTAGCTACGAGGTTGTGTTCGTGTCACGGTGTCAGGTCTTAGTGCAGCATGGGCTGCTAATTAATTTTTGGAATTTTGGTCATCTTCTGTAAGTCGGGTTTGAGTTTTGTGTAATTAATTTGTTTAATATTTGGTACAAGTTGTTGTTATTTCCGTTATAAGGTCCATTTGTGTTTTACATATTGAAATTAAACAGTATAGCCGCATGGCCATACTCTTAAAATATATTTGAATATTTACACGGTGTAGCCGCGCGGCTATACTTTTAGAAATTACGACATATCTTAGCCTTATTTAATTATTTTAATGTTATATTTTAATTATTATTTATTTAGTGAATAATTTGTATTTAAATATTTTAATTAATTTTATAAATTACTCAACATATAGTAATTAATTATTTTAAATTATTTCGTGGTTTTTTTTTTTTTTTTTTTTTTTTTTTTAGAAATTAGTTTTTCTAGTTTAATATTTGTAATTAAGTAATAATCTTATGCCTTATTTAATTACTTTAATTAGTAATTTATTATTTCTTTAGTGAATAATTAGTATTTCAATATTTCAATTAATTTTAGAAATTACTTAATGAATAGTATTTAATTTTTTAAAATTCTTTTATGGACTTGAAAAAATATTTTTAATTCCAAAATTATTTTTAAAATAGTTTCTATTATTTAAAAATCCTGTAAAATTCTTTTAAGTACCCAAAAATATTGTAAAAACTATTTTAGTATTCAAAAAATTGATTTTAGCCTCCAAATCCGAAATCCAAGTCTCGAACCAAAAATCCCAACTTCCAAATTTGTTCCAAAACCGTTCTTAGTCCTTGAACCCTAACCATAAGCCTACTCTAGGGCACTTATGACTTGATTTGGCTTGGATATTGATGTAACTCAGCCTAGTATTTTACGATTAGGGTTTCGATCTCAAAGCAAGTATGGTTATTATTTTGACATTTTATTTATCATATAGTGTTTTTACTACTAATTTAAAATAATTGTTGTTTATTTCAACATAATGCCTCTTTCATCTATTTTCCCTTATATATTTCTGTTTACTATCAGAGGAGACTGTTGTGAAGGACAAGATATGGTCTATGATATCTCAAAATGAGCCTTCACTTGTACCAATGTCCATTGTAGGTATTAAGGCTCGCTGGTTTTTAGAATTTTTTTTTAAAAACTAAAAACTTTTATCTTTGTATTCCCTGACAAAAGATATGTATTCCCTGGCATGTGTTGATCTTCTTGAAGTGATAGTTCCTGGTGCTCCACAATCAACCTAATATCTTTAAGTTGAATTCAGGAATTCCATGTCTGTAGTTGCAGAGAAACTCAAGGCAGATCTCATTTTTGCTATACACCACTTTCCCTTTTAATTTCTCCCCATTGAGGTTCTTGGACCCTGAGCATTATTTTAAGTAAAAAGGCACATGCACCTGCATTTGAAGGGCAGGGTCAATTTGTTATTCTTAAGTTTCTTTAGCTATAGGTAGTGTATTGGTTTGTACATATGAACTACCCATCTCTGCATATAGTTTCTCATATCCTCTCTGGTATGCACGTGATAAAGAAGGGGATAAATTTTCAACCAAAACGAAAGTGTTTTAGCTATAGTCAGTCTTAGGGGGAAGTACTTCGGTTACCATTTTTCATAGAATATAATTGGGCTTGCTGATTTGCTGCCATTTTAAAGCGTATAGCCGCGCGGCTATACTTTTAAATAAATTTGAATATTTTAAAAGTATAGCCGTGCGGCTGTCTTCTTAAAATAAATTCGAATATTTAAACTGTATAGCCGCTCGGCTATACTGTTTAAAAAATATTGTTTTCTCAATAACATCAAAGTATATTGTCTCTTGCTTAAACTTAAATTGAGAAATTAGTATATCCTCTACTCAAAGGAGTGAAATGAGTTTAGATATTATGATGATTGAAGCAACCAAGCCGACTGATTCAAACTGTAATGGGTTGTTTGGTTTGAATAAAAATTCAGACGATTAAAAACCGAATTAGACCATAATGATTAGGTTCGATTTCTTTTTTTCTTTTTTGTAAGCCAGCTTAAATTGAACCAGACCGTTCACTTGTATATTTATCTATTTTCTATGTGTAGTTCTCTCATATACTGAAATTGCGAGTTTGATTTGGTTCGATTCTTCAACAATTTTTGTTAAACCGAATCGAACTAAACTGTTTTATTGTAATTAATTTGGTTGTGAATTTGAAGTCAAACCGATTCAATCCAGACCCTACCAAGTCCGTAGCGCATCACATGAGTTATTCACTTTGACAGCCGTTGATGAAGTGGATTGCGGCAGATCAACGGTTGACAGCCAAAAAGGTGAGGGCGTAGTTGATAGTGAACAGGCATGGTATAGAAGCCAGAGGAGACGGTGAAAGACAACCCACACTGAAAGCAAAGGTTCTGGTATTCTTTCGTCTGTTTCACGCGTCCATAAACCCCGCCAGATCAGCCGTTGGATCTGATCTATCTTCTTGATGACAAAGGCTGCTGCACTTCTACGCTTAAGAAGAATCCATTGACTCTCTCTCTCTCTCCCACTCTCTCTCTCTCCCTATCCAACAACTGCTTTGCTCACACAACTCCTCCCTCACCGACAATTGCTTGCATCATTAATCATATATGCGAGAGCTTTCTGGTGGCGTTTAAATCCCTAAATGCCAAAATTGCCCCTGAGCTAAGCTTCCCTTCAAGTCTTCCAAAATAATCATGTTGAAAAATAAAAATTTATTATTTTGGATGTCCAGCTATGACATGATAGCCTTACTGCACATGCATCTTATGTTTATAGATTCATTTTTCCGACATTAATTGGTGACAGAATCATTGTTTTTACCAATTAATTTTTTATTAATTAACAAAGATTTGAACTTTTGACATTCTCTTGTAATTTTTGTTCTTTGTTTGCCAACATTCTCTAATAATTTTTCACACCATACCTTACATAACGAAGAAAAAAAATGATAAAAATAAAATACAAAGATATACCATAACGAAAAAATTAAACCTCATACGATCAATAAAAGTTGAACCTAGAATTCGTCATTTTTTTATCTTACACTAATGTCACTTGAGTTACAACTATTGTTGTTCTTATCATTTTCAATTTAAACACCGAATAACTTGTTCGATATGATGAACTCACATCATGTGTTTTCACATATTTCTAATTTTTACCACGCCAATTTAAAAATGTCATCAAAAGAGAGGACATGAAATGAAAGATAAGTTGAACTCCTTTACAAACTCACATCATTTAGCAAATTTTGTTTTACTTTTCTTCTTTTTTAATGCACTTCCAATTTCACTGTGCTTGACCAATACTGGCTATTTTGGGAATTTCGTTATTACAGGTGAAATACCCACATTTCAGGCGAGTGGTGGGAAGTAGCTTTCTGTTGGTAATAAATCTATTCACTATTTTAGTATTTTCTTTATTTTGTAGCTTCTTCACTTTATTCAATCATTTTTTCACAGTTGTTTTGTTTTGTGTATTTAGAGGGAGAAACAGATCGACACAGAGTAGAGCAGGCCAAGAGAGAGAAAGACAGAGAGAGAAGGAGTTGAGAGAGATCTGAGAAGTAGTTTCTGAAGCTAGCCATGGCATCAAAGCTGTTGTTGATTGCAGTCTTCATCGTTAATGTCATTGCTTTTGGGCTGGCTGTTGCAGCTGAGCAGAGGAGAAGCTCTGTAAGTTCTCTCTCTCTCTTTCTTTCTCTTCATATTAAGCCCTTCATTGTTATTGCTTGTCTTTTTAAACATTGATTCTTTTGCTGAACATATTAGTATATAATTGAAGTTCTTTTTTCTTTTTCTTTTTCTGGGTTTGTTTGTTGATTTTTACTGTTTGTTTGCTAAGAAAATGCAAGGAAAGACAGGAAACTCGATACGTTGTATTTTAATTGTTTGGGATTGAAGAAAATAAGAAGCAATCCATTTCTTGGATGGACCTAATACTTCAACTTAGGTATTTGGATCAACTCACCATAGACAGAGAGGGGTTTTTCAAAATAGTGAGAGGCAAGAAAATTGTGTTCTTGCTGACCCGAATAAATTGAATCAACTCTCTATGGCTTGTTATGTGTTTTCAAGAAAAATTGTCAAATTAACCTGTTCATGCATATGAGTTTCTTGGAGAATTTGCCATGAATACTTCTGGAACAAATTGTAATGAATGCTGTGAAACATATAGAGGCATATGAAATTGAATCGTGCAAATAAATTTGATTCCAAGAATAAGATGGGTGTTCTGAACTCGAATGAAAAACTTGTTTTGTGAGATTTTCCAGTCAAATAAGAGAAGTTAACCTCTTTCATTCAGAGTAGTTAGTTAAGCATAAAAGTTGGGGTTAAAATTTTAGTATTACCCAGAACTTCCTACTTATCAATCTGGCTGTATTTCTGGTGTGCAGTACCTTCCATTTGGTGTTCTTAGAAAAACTAAATTTATAGTTAATTTGTTTTCATATCTCAAAATTAACAATCTATACAGTTTTCCCCTACCCACCAAAGGTTGAATTATTAAATCTTGACGTGAGCCAATTTAGTTGTACTTAGCTTTATTGAAATACAGGAGTTTTGCTTTGGGTTGGGACCTTGACAATGTAGTGATATATGACAGCTTGCTGCTTGCTATACAATAGTAACAATCCAATTGTGCCTTTAATGACAGGCAAGGATCGTTCAGGATAATGAGGTGAACTACAACTATTGTGTCTATGACTCGGACATTGCAACTGGCTACGGGGTTGGTGCATTTTTGTTCCTCTTGGTAGGTCAGGTCATTATAATGGCAGCAAGCCGATGCTTCTGTTGCGGGAAGCCATTGAGTCCTGGAGGGTCAAGAGCCTGGGCAGTCATCCTTTTCGTAACCTGCTGGTATGACTTATAACAGACCAAAGAAAACTGCCATGCCAATTGGATCGATTCAATTAGCTCAACATGGATGTTCATATAATTGCAGACTGAATTTTGATTTTAACTTCCACACCAGCATTTAAGGTTCACATCTTGCAATGGATCTTTACTTATACATTTTTTTGATGTGTTTCTTAACAGGATATTTTTCTTCATTGCTGAGGTGTGCTTGCTGGCGGGTTCCGTGAGGAATGCCTACCACACCCATTATAGGACCATTTTCAGTGAAAACCCTCCAGATTGCCAGACATTGAGAAAAGGAGTTTTTGGTGCAGGGGCAGCTTTCATCTTCCTCACCACAATAGTTTCTGAGTTCTACTATGTTTTCTACTCCAGAGCCAGAGGAAGCTTCCAGCCATATGGTGGAGAGGCTGCTGTTGGTCTGGGAACCTTCAAATGATGCCATCCATAATCAATGTGATTGATTGATAATCATTATTTTGTAATAGATTTGAGATTTGACTATATGTCTGGCCTCCCCCAGTTGCATGTTTTGAGTTGCATAAATATGTGCTAAGGGTTCAGTTGAGTCTGTATTATAGTGGTGTTGTACTTCACATTCTTTTCACTCTACTGTGAAATTCTTTTTTCTTTTTTTTCTTTTTTTCTTTTTTTTTCTGATTGTCAAATACGGTATTAATATAGAAAATCATTTCTTGTGATGTTATACAGCATGCAGAACTGTTTACAGGGAAATGCTTGATATGTTAGAAGAATATTATAATTTGCTTAATAAGTGTCAATGTATGATTAGCTTAAATATCCCATAATTCTGAACTAAGACATTGTGGGAGGGACGAAGATTCATTTTCTTCCTCATTGTGTGAGGAGGCAAATTTTGTCACCCATAGACTTAGCTAGATTTGTTGCATTCGAAGTTTTTAAATGGTTTAAGGTGACCTCTGATTTGAGAATGCGAGGTGAGGAGATATTACGTCTTTGTATGCTTTCAATTAATTAAAGAAACCTATATAATAAATAGAGCTGGCAACGGGTCTAACCCATTAGAAAGGGTCTCTTGACTTGTAGCCTAGTGGAAAGGATCTTAATTTGCATACTAGTGGTTTTAGATTCGAACTTCCATGGCATCTTAACAGTGTGAGAAAATCCTCCTCTCCCAATATTGCTCGTATAAAAAAATAAAAATAAAAACAAAAACTTATAGGAGTCGTTTGGTACAGCGGACTATTATGAACTGGACTAAATCTTGGTATTATCTTAGATTAGTTCGAATTGGTCTAAACTGGATTAAGTACTGACCTACGTTTGGTGCTACATTGGACTAAGAAGCTGGATTGTAAAAATAGTGAAGACCTATATTTGGTGTTGTGTCGAACTAAAAAATAATTATTTAAATATTTAAATATAATAATTTTTAGATAATTAAATGTAATTTAATAAGATCTTAAAACTATGAACATACTTTCTAGATACCAAATTTACATGTAGATGTCAAAGTCATAATTTCTCCAAAAAGTCATAACAAATCAACAAAGAAAGCATTCCAAAAATGCCATCAAGCCCATTCATAGCAATTTGTGAATGCCACTATATATAAATTTCAACTCCCATTCAAGAATAAATAATAAAAATCAATACCCATTTAGGAAAATTTCATTTCACAATATAAGTGGAATACATATTTACTCTCATTTGTCCTTACAAACTACTCATTCTTGCGCATAATTGTAACTAGCATAAGTGCCAGTTTTGGCATTACTTATTTGAGGTGATAAGTGATTTTTTAAAAAAAAATTGAGAAGCGGGTTGTTTGGTAAATGGTGAGAAAGTCACTTATTGTTAAAAATTGCTGTGAGAGAAAGCTATAAGGGAAAATAGCTAATGAGGTGCTTTCATTTTCTAATTATGCAGGAATTAGTTTTAAAGAGGCGCTAGGTTTAATGATTATGCAGTAATCATTTTCTGATTATGCGTAAAATCAATACCAATAACATTTTTAACAAAAATTTTACCAAACGCCAAACTACTTTCTCTCACAACTGATTTCTCTTACAGCAAATCTGACAGCGATTATTTTCACAGCACAGCATGTCAAACTGGCCCTAAGTCTAGTATTTTGCTAGTTCTCTTCAGAACTCATGAGTGAAAAGTTTCATTCATTGTCAAAATATAAGTGCAAGCAACGTAAGCCCTTGATGTCTTCTTCAATCACAAAAAGCCACCTACCAAAGTGAAAAAAAAAATATTATTAATTAAAAAAAAAAAAAAAAAAAAAAAAAAAAATATATATTATGTAAGATTACATTTCATCAGGCAAAGCTAACAATATAAATTAGAAACCTAGTCAATGATGACCGTCCATGGAAAGTAATTGAATACTGAACTTAACAAGATAAAACTATACTTCTTATTGCTTTGATCTTCAATGAGGTCTGCATTTCTTTGGATTTCCACTCCATCTGAATCCGGATTGTAAGAGACCAAACAATCAAAATCAACAAACTCATGTAAGGCTTGAAAGTCAATGTCAATTGCAGACATACAAAAAAATCTATCTCAATTTGAATGTTCAAAAGCACAAAGTGTATGATTCATATCACATAAATGACAATGTAATGTGACGAACCTCTTTGCAGAGCATTTGATGACACCACATCTCGCTACTTAGCCAACTATAAGAGGCATTTACACTGAAGCAAGCAGCTAAGCTAACCAACTATGATTACACCATCAGCTTAAACTCTGAAATTATGCATGGCTGCCTACCCAAGTTGTCTTGACCTCCAAACAAGGGAAAATCTCTCAAGACTGCAAGCACACATAAACATCTCAAGTCTCATAAAATAGAACTTTGCACTTCAACGAATAATATAATATGTTTTTCTTTCCATTAGAGATGACAAAAATAATGCATATATTCTTCAAACATCCAATTGTTGGAAAAATTAAATTAAATTAAATTTGGACCATGAAATAAAATTTGGCACCATGAGATACATGAAACATTCAGAAATTTGATCTTGCGTCTATTTATTATAGAATAGGGGACAAGTTATCTAATAGATAAGCTAGACTACTCAACACAACCGCAAAAAAGACTAAAATTTGGCATCTTTTGGTGCCAAACCAATGACTAAGCATGTCATTAGTCCTCCAATGAAGCAACTCTTGAGAAACTCACTACTACCTTTGTCTCGAATGCCCATGTGGTAGCCAAGATCAAAATCAAGAATTGCATTACCACCCCATTGCATAACCCAATTGAGTGCCACATTTTAGCAAACAGTTGGAGTGTATGTTGTGCTATGGACTCTTGCACAACACCAGAAGCATTAAGCCCCCAAACCCAATTCTTCAAGGATTGAAACCTATTAATCTTATGAACAAAACCAATGGACTCTGACCCAGCAATAATGGCAACAAAATAAGACATAGAAACAAGCAAACCTTTCGTACATTTGGGTTAAGGAATTTGCGATGTCGCTGATATCCAAGATTAAAACCCACAAAGCACACTTCAAGTACATATGTATTTTAGCGGGTTGGCGGGTTGACCCGTCATGACACGTTTTGTTAAACTGGTTGAGTATTTTAGCGGGTTGACTCGAAATCCACCTATTTATTAAACGGGTCATAGTTGGTTGTGTAACGAGTCGTGCCCAAAATTGCCACCCATAGTTTTAAGTATTATTTTGCCCAGTCCAGTCTATTGAGGCCTACCAAACATGACCTAGAACTCTATGATCCTCGATAAATTTACAAAACTTTATGTGCTTTGTATGGGATTTTGTAGTGATTTAACCAAAATTGTGTGAGGATGAGGTTAAATTTATGATAATTGATTAACCAAATCATTTTGTGTTGTTGCCTCCACAACTATATTTTCTCGTATCTCACCCTAAATATATGCGAATGGATCATCCTAGACCTTCTTTTTTTCCTGACCAATCAATCAAATTAGACCTTTTAGGATATGGAAATCTCCCAAATAAAAATTCATTAATTAACATAGATTTTGATGCAAAATTCATGTAATAAATTGCGATTTTTTTTTTCCAATTTATGCATCAATCATGAATTTAGAGTAATGTCCATTATGATTCTAATTAGTGCTTTGTTTATAACCTCTATTTCCTATTTTCTCGTCGACCCAAAAAATGTCTTATTTTCTCTTGTTTGTCTACCGGCCCACATTGAAAATGGGCTCCGCATATGTTGTCACCTACAGGCCTGCAGCCCACAACTTCACACAGAAGCTAGCCCGCAATTTCTCAAAGACATTTTCCGCTTTGGATATTTGAACGTTTCAAACTAAAAGCGTAAGCAGGTTGGGTCAGAATATACATTTCAAATGGCTTATGCAAACATGGTCTAGGTGTTGTGACCAAAACCAAAAAAATGGTCTCTGTTTATTTGTCCTTCCCTTGATACATTGATACTACTGCAAACAAATCGGAAGTTGTTTGGTCATATAAATGTGCACACGAAAAACTCAGCTTGTTAAACACAATTGAAACAAAAATGTGGATAATCAAATTACTAAATTATTTTCAGCTAAAGTAACATCTAAATAAGACCTCTATCATTACCGATTGTAACGACTAATCTAAATTTGTGTTGGGTTACACAGAAATTAGTTTAAGCTTCTTAACCCAGCAATCCCTTATATTCCTTTTCTCTTTGTTGGTTTCTAGCTAGTGGAATTCAGTTGATCAGCCTCATCTCCTCTCACTTAAATGCCAGCAACCATTTGAGCCTTTTTGAGGTCTATATAGAAACTTCAAAGTGTCAGTGTCTTGATGCAAGCATGCAGCTTTTCAAACTGTACCAGAGGGAGGCCCTGCCCTAAATTGTACCAAGCTACACCCAAATGGTGCAGTTATATTCCGAAATTGTACTTGGCATATAGGCTGCTTGGCTCTAGTTTGTGAAAATTTTGCTGCCACCAAAAATCTGAGATCCTCTCCTCCCCAACCTACCCCCAAGTGATCTCTGATCACGCATAAAAGATGCAGGTTTTGAGGTAACCATTGCGTCACAAAATTTGATCCACTCTCCTGCACAATATATATCTTCTGAGTTTGAAGAAGAAATATGATGCGCCAAAGTCGATTTTGAGCCCAAGGACAATGATGCCTACTTACAAATCAGCATAGATTGTGGGTTAGGTTTAATCCCGCAGGGAGTTATCTTGTTAGGAAGCAAAAAGAAAAGGACAACACATGACATTGACATATGAAAGAGAAATACTAATCATTATTATAATTTCATACGCGCGTGAGCGACTGTCAACTGTTGATGCATGTGTAGACTCACATTTAACATGTTGTGAACTCACCTACATTAACCAATTTTTGTGTATATGTATGCATGGAAATATGAGGAATTAATCTTTCATTTTTCACAGTTATTTGTGCTAATATTACAAAATTAGAAAGACTTAAAAAAAAAAAGGGGTTCAGAAATTATTTGATATTTTGGTTCTTGTCAAAACAGGGGCCTTGGCACCTTAAAAATCAGCAGAGAAATTAGGTTTAATTCCCGAGGGTGTTATAATTCTATTGTTAGCAATCAAAAGTAAGAGAGGAAACATGATTTAATAAGAAAGAAGGATGCTTAATTACGATAAACACGCTCGTATAGATAACTATCAACTATTGATGCATTTATAATTGTCATGTTCCTGAATGAAACAAGAAGGGGGAAAAATACCGGAATGATTGATACTTGATACTTTGGTGCGTATTAAAACAAGGTCATTTCTTTTTTGTTGAGCATAAAATAAGTGACTCTCCAAAATTGTCAAAATGCCAACCCTCCATATTATGTTTCCCCTCTTCTGCTGCTTCTTTTTAATCTTTTAATTTAATTGGGAAAATAGTACAGTTCACATGCAAAGCTTTAAACATGCTAGAATATGTTACATTGTCATGTCCCCTTATATAGCATGATTGTAGCTGCCACATGCTCTCAGTTTCTTCTGCAGCAAAGCCACTTTTCTTTATTCTTCTGATAATACATGCATAATACATACATGCATGACGATGACGATGATGATGATGCATTCAGAGGGTAGTTTGGTCTTTTTACCATGTCAATTCGGAAACTTTAATCTGAGAAAATTGTGTGGGACAGATTTGATGAAATGAAGCAATGTGTGAAGGGGTTTTGTTGTGGTTTTCTTCAAAATGCAACCAAAAAGAGAATATTGAAACAAGCCCATTATTAGATTGCTGCATCTGCATCTTTCGAATGAGTAATGATATGCCTTGCCACCTTCACTGTCTAATAATTCACATGATGCATTTATATGACTCGGACATTGATCTATCATTTTTAAAAGGGCAAAATTATATGGTCCTGCAAGCTTTGGCAAGTGCTTCTCCAATCCCATGTATAGTCATCATTTGCATGCATTTACAACTGTTGCACCAACCCAATAATTCAAATTGCATTCCATTTAGTCTAAAACAACACACACAACCATTGACATCTATTCATATAATGCTTTAAAAGTTCTACATTGTACATATACCAGTACCCGGAAAAACAGTAAATAATCAACCTGATCAATAGTTCAGATTCAATCACATAAACATCTTATGTTATCAGAAAGTTTGACAAGAGAACATTTTCCTTTCGTCTGCTTATCTAATATCTATGGACCCCTTCTGTTTATAACATAAACAAAACCAATTTTTTTCTCATATCTTAGATGGCTCTGTAAAATGTGCTCAGAACCATCTAATTCTTGTTAACTATTATCTGTCCTTAGCAGAATATACATATATATACACATCTGGTGTAGCAGAGGGTATTTAGCTTTTTATATATAAGGTTTTAATTAAAATTACATGAAAATGTCCAGCAATAATAATTCACTAACCCCCATGATCTGCTGTCGTATCAGCAAATCAGCAACAGTATAGGATCTTCGTGCTCCTTCTGAAACAGTTTTTTTTTTTTTTTTTTTTTTACAGTGGTTTTGTCACCATTTTTTATAGTCTTTTTCATCACATGAAGGGATGATTGATGAATTAAAATAATTAATGTCCAGTTGATCAAATAAAATTAGTATAATTACTGAGTGACACGCATGACAATCTGATGATGGGAATATAATTAAATTTAAAACCCAAAGTATAAGCATATTGTTATATATATAATTAATTTACTAATGGCATTTCAATTTCCTCACTTATCCTCAATGATATGCATACTTAATCAAGAACCTGTTTCACGCACAAACAGGCTGTTGGGAATCAAGCCACGTGGTGTGTTTGTTTATATATAATATGATATTTATGTCTCTAATCTGAATTTAGTCTTTTAATAATAACTTAATTATCATTAATCAATCTATAATTATGATTGTGGAAACCCTATAAAGCTAAGCAAAATTTTGCTTAGGTAATGAGCAGGAGGCTTCCCTTTCATTTCATGTCAATGACAACACCGGCTCATCTAATTTACTTTGAATTAAAAAAGATAGTGGGGGCATTGTGCAAAAGCTTCCTTCCAGGTCATGAGCAAACCAAGCCTTAAAAAACAAATAAATAGTTCATTTATACATAATCAGGTGTTTGAAGTAATTATACTTGCAGTGTGGCATTGGATCCATTTTTGTTTTTGTTCTAGGGCAGCAGGATGCTAGTTATGTTTATGTATCGATTTTTTTAGGCTGGAGATTTTCCCACGTTCTTTTTGTCCACTTACACTTCCTTTTGTTTTTTGTATTTTTTTACCATAACATTTAAGGAAGTGTAAAAGGCTGTGAAATAATTTCCAACAAAAAAAGTGTAAAACGGACAAAATATGAGTGGAAAAATCAGGTCTCTTTTTTCATATCTAGATTTATTTAAAGATTTTAATGGGAACAAGCATGTTAAGGGAATAGATTGTTCTAATGCCCATTCATTAAAGTTTTGATTTTATTTCTATATCTAAAAGAATTCAATATATGTTGCATAAAAATTAATGTGAGGAGGCCTACTTTTTCCTTCCTCCTCTCCACCGTCTATATGTTTTGGCATAATAATTATGTTTTATAGCATTAATTTGTCACCCCAACAACTAGCAAAGACTACGATGTAAACCAATTCATTGGACGGCATCGGTTGAAATTAAGCCATTTGTCTTAAATATATTTGTTTCGTCTGCAGTAGATGCCTCCAATTGTCATGAATCTAGTTTGACAATAAATCCATGAATCCTACCAGGTACAATTAAATTGATGTTTTGATAAAGCGAAAGAAAATGTTGTCTTATCAGACATGATGTACCTATATTGTCAATTTCAGCTATTCATAAGATGAATAGTTGCTTTAACAAATATTTGTTGTTTTGCCACTAAGATTTAGTCGATTGAAAAATGACTTTAACTTGCAGATTTATAGTCTCATATTCGAATCTTTATGAAACATTGGCAATGCT